GTAACCGGGGACTCACTCACCTGTGAAAGGTGTGGTGCTGGCAGTGTAGAGCTGGTCGCCGATCAAACCCACAGTCCAGAAGCCCAATTCTGAAGACAGTAGGATATCTCCTTGTCGATGAACGGATTCTTTGCAAACTCCCACATCCCATTCTTTGCTTGTGCCCACGTCCACCTCCCAGTAACGCCGGCCAGAAGTGAACCGAGGGGAGCCCAGGACACACAATGCATAGTTGAATCTCTCCGCATGCTCTTCCCTATTCTGCTTGAAATGCCCACAACAGACATTCCTCAGGTCGTCAGAAATGATGAGATGGTTGTTGGCTGTGTCCACATTGAAGGTCACATCCACTGTGGAAAGAAAAACTAGTAGTTCAGCAAAGACACACTGTAGCCTCACTCATCCCTTCTACCGCAAAAACCCAAACATTTCATTTATTTTCACTCTTTTTATTCTACTTTTCTTCCCTAATCAGAATTTCCTGGGGTAACTTACTTGGTCCCCCATTTGTAACATTCTATACAAATGTTATGTATAGAATCCATGAATTTGTAATAGAAATTCCACTGGCATTAAGTTTGGATAATTTGTTTAAAGATTTTTTTTTTTTTTTTTTTTTGTCTAGAGAGAGTTGTCAAACGTATCCCTAGGAATCCCTGGAACCTTTCGTCTTGCATCCTTTCCTTATTTTGTATTTCTACCAATGCCTCAACTGGTATTTGTTCCCTTATCTTTCTCCTCTGCTCACAAATTTGTAGCCATCCCATAAGATGAAGGGTGACTTCCCACTAAGCTTCAGAGAAATGTGAGATTTGTGTGATCTCAGAAAAAGCCTCTTTTTTTTCAGTATCTACAAATGGTTTTATTAGAACACAATCCTAAACAGATCAATAATGAGCAGCGAGATTGAAGTGATAATAAAAAATCTCCCCAAAAAGAAAAGCCCCAGACCAAATGGATTCACAAATTCAAACAGACCTAAAAAGAAGAACTGGTACCCATCCTACAGAAGTTATTCCATAACATTGAGTTAGGGAGGATTCCCTCCTTCTCATTCTATGAAACCAGTATCACCATTATCCCAGAGCCAAGAAGGGACAAAAAAATGAAAACTACAGACAAATATCCCTTGTGAACATAAATGCAAAATTCTCAATAAAATACTAGCAAACCAAATTCAACAGTACATCAAAAAGATAATCCACCAGGACCAAGTGCGCTCTAGCCCAGGGCTATGAGGATGGTTCAACATATATGAATTAGTAAATGTGATTAATCACATAAACAGATGCAAACACAAAGACCATATGATCATACCAACAGATGAAGAAAAAGCATTCAATATAATCTGGCACCCTTTCATGATAGAAACCCTCAACAAACTAGGCATAGAAGGAACATACCTCAAAATCATAAAAGCCATATATTCTAAGCCTCCCCCTTTAGCCCTGTTTTTCAGAAGAGGGAGTCAGTCAGATAGGGCAGACTTTGATAATTTTTCCAGCTCTGACACCATATTTATGGTGTCCTATCTTTAAGCATTTAGATCTATTGTATCCAAGATGGTCCCCAACGTAAGGGGGAATGTTTATTCATCTATTGGGTAGGTGTTAGGATTGTTGGGGGCTGAAGATACATAATCTTGTTATAAAGAACAAGAGCTGGGCAGATTATTTAGGTCTCATGTCTTAAGATCTGTCTTACGTCCACAGTTGCCACCCTAAAGACTCAGTCCCTCAGCTGAAACTTATGCCCATCTCCTACTCTTCAATTCTCCCCACTCCAGTAGTGTTCCAGTTACATTTCCCTTGACCAGTCGCTGTCTCAAGCTATATACTCAAACTCATGTCCAGTTCTTTCAAATGCTTGAAACAAACATACTGAAACTGACTCTTGACTATTAAAATAAGGGAAACCAACCCCTTCCTTAACCCTGACTTTTCCTAATCTTCAGCTGCAAACCTAAGGTGTTACTCAATCCTATTTCTATTGTCCCAACTGCAATCTTTGGCAACCCACACAGGATCCTGAGTGATCTAACAATATCCAACAATAAGCTTGAATAAAATAGCAGCTACCTAGAGGTCATATTTTTTTGTGTCATAAATAACTTCTGAGGAATGTTAAATAATATCAATGAGCTACTCTGGAAAACAGTTTAAATTTCTTATAAGATTGAGCATAAACTTATCCTACAACCAGCAATGGTACTCCTTGATATTTATCCCAGAAAAATGAAAACATGACCAGAGAAAACCCTGTACAAAAATGTTCACAACAGGTTTATTTGCAATAGTCAAAACTGGAAACACCTCAAATGTCTGCAAAAAAGTGAATGGTTAAAAAAAAAAGTGGTACATCAAGCCTTCAAGCCATGGACCATGACTTGGCAATAAAGAATGAATTATTGCTACAAACAGTAACTAGGACAGATTATGCTGAGTGGAAAAGCCAATCTCAAAAGGTTACATGGCATACAATTCTATGTATACAGTCATGCATCACATAATGGCAGGGATATGTTCTGAGAAGTGTATTGTTAGGTGATTTCCTCACTGTGTAAACGTCACAGAGTATATTTACACAGACTTGGGTAGTATAGCCTACTACACATCTATACTACATGGTGTAGTGTACTGCTCCTAGGCTACAAACCTGTACAGCATGTTACTCTACCAAATACTGTAGGCAACTGTAACACAATGGTAAGTATATGTATATCTAAATATAGAAAAGGTACAGTAAGCATACGGTATAAAAGATAAAAATTGGTACAACTGTCTAGGGCACCTACCATGCATGCAGCTTGCAGGACTGGAAGTTGTTCTGGGTGAGTCAGTGAGAGGTGAGTGAACTGGAAGACCTAGGATGTTGCTGTATGCTACTGCAGACTTCTATAAACATTTTACACTTAAGCTACACTAAACTCATAAAATTTGTTTCTTTGTTATCCCTTGCTCTATTCAAAGCTTGTATATAGGAGTCTTCTCAAAGATGATGCTTTCTTATAATTTCACAAAGGATATTGGCTAGGGGATGTGGATTAACTCCAGGTGTTAGTTGGGCATCAAATCCAGTGGATGTTCCGAGGCCAAACTCAGGTTGGGAAAGAAGGTTCTGCCCTTGCCTTCAGTAAGGACTCCAGGCCCTGACCCTGTTGAGGACTCTACAGCAGGCACTGTTCTAAGTGCTTTGGAGTTCTAACACAGGCAGTCATTATGCACTCCTTTCCTCAACTTCTAGACTTCGTTATTCTTTAAGGCATTGGCATGCTCACTGGCAAAAAGAACAAAAAAATGCTGTTAGACTGTAGATTCCTGAAATAGATCCAGGCTTGGGGGAAAGGTTCAGGAATTTGGAAATTCATTGTAGAGAGGCTTTTAGCTTTTAGCAATGTGGGACCTAGATCAGGGCTTCATACTATTGACATTTGGGACCAGATCCTTCTGTGTTTGAAGAGGGCTGTCCACAAGAAACTCCGAGCTTACTGGTTGCAGCAGTTTCTGGGTTCGTGTCGGCAGAAGGTCTCTGCAACAGCTCAGGAGGCCCCCAACAATCCAAGATGTGATCGAGGGAGAAATTAACTGCTACACCTACCCTTCTCATGAGTCTCCAAACCTTTCGGGGCTTAATCCCTTCCAATGCATTTCTCCTTCTGGTTCTGCTCAGCAACCTCTTCCCATGGAGTCTCCGGTAGGTTCAGGCACCTTTCCTTCCTACCCTCTTCTGCTCTGTCTTTGTCTGTCTGGCTTTTTTTTCTCTTTTTCATCTAAAACTTTTCCTTCTTACAGAGACACTTTGGCTATTGGTGTCTCTGGTCAGCCATCTTCAATTTCTATTTTATTTAGAAGTGGTTTTTTTTAAATTTTCATACATGTGGAGATTTTACAGATAGTTTTTCTGTTACTGATTTCTCATTTAATTCTGTTGAGATTAAAGAACAAAGCGTATATTATTTTAACTTTAACATTAATGAGTTTTGTCTCATGACCACATACATCTACCTTGGTGAATGCTCAGTGTGGACACTAAGTAAAAATATGTTTTTTTTTCAGATGTTAGATAAAACTGGATACATACACATATGTATTTCTACCATTTATATAGGTCTATTCTCCTTATCATACCAATTAGTCTGTTGGGTCACATTAAAATTATTATTTTATTTATAATTTCAATAACACACTGAATTGATCTTACAAGAACTAAACAAGAAAGCATTTGCAAATTTATCTTAAGTTCAAAATATTTATTGGAAAAAAAATAAACAAAAGTCCCAAAGAAAAGAACATGAGAATATTTCATATTTGAAATGTAATTTTCCCTGATCAATATAATTAGTTATTAAATGACCCAGTTTTTTACTATATCTTTGTGTTATGCAGAAAAGTCCTTAGCTCAGATCATGAGCATGAAGTGAGTTCCCGCAGGTGATTCTGTGTTCACGGGTTTATTCCCCTTGCCCAGGATAATTTGGAGGACTGACAATGCCTGGATTCATCACAGGACAGATACTCAGGAAGCCTTAATCATCATCCATTTCATCTACAGGAGAGAAAAACGGGGGCAGTGGCTCCGCAGTAGGAATTTTCG